TTTAAATGGGTTTCCTGTGTACAATGTGATTTGTTTTAAATAACACATTTGCAAAGTTACAAGAACCTACAGCGATGAGAAGTGAACTACTTTCCAATTCAGCACGGAGATTCTGGATGACTGCCCTGTAAACATTAATCATGTATTTCAGGCAAGAAACATTTCACATTCTGTACTAGTTCAGTAATAAATTTTTCTAAGAAGTACCCTACAAAGTCAACATACATTTAATTTTAAGAAAAACTAACAAAGAATACCTTACAAGGTTTTCCAGAAGTTATCCTAAAATTTACTTAATCATATTAGTAAAATTTGTTCAAAGGTATATCATTTTAGCTACAACTAGAAGGTCTGGCTCACTTCACAATTATCTTTTTGTAAAGACTAAAATCTCTTTAACTATTTAAACAACTTTAATAATCTGTAATGGTGAAAACGTTTACAGGTGGGTAGAATTCCATCACTGGCATTATTGTAACGCTCACTTCCCCCTGGCCTTTCTTCCTCTATTCTGACTGTAGCTCAGGGCTGAAACGGACACAAAAATATGTTGAACAAGATGTCAAAAGTAACAGAAACACAGACTGTAAGTTAGCAGTTATTTTATTTTTAGGTAAGATATTTACATTCTCCACTCATTAAAAAATATTCAATCAGATCATTGCTCAATAAAATGGCATGTTTTTAAAGATTGCTACATTGGTGGTATATCAGGTTTCTACGTGGTTTTTTTTTTTTGTGTGTGCCATTGACTTGATGCTCAGATATATAGGGTTTGTCAAGGGATACAGCACTGTTCATTTCAGATTCAAGGCATGCACAGTTTTCCCCCACAAATCTCAAATATTTATGAATTTTAAAACTGTCTCAAGCACCTGCATAACAATTGCTTTCCTAACCCGTAGGCCCGTACTTGGTTAGACTCTGCACAGAGGCAGTGACTAAACTGCAAAAATGGCTGAGGAACAGTGAGGTCATTTGTTAAGGGATTCACGGTGAATATATGTTCATGTTTAACAGGCAACATTTTTCTAATGTAGGTTGGCTAATGGTTGCAAAGTGTATTTATTCTATGTAGACAAGGTATTCGTTAGAATAGGACTTGTCTGTAAAACTTGCAAAACAGATTTGGACTAGTATTTCTGGATTAAAAGGATTGCCACAAACCATAGTAGGAGATTTGGGACTACTCCTATTTTAAATTGACTACTTCACCTTCCTCCACAACATCTTTTGAATTCATTCCCTTTAAACATTTATTAAGAGCCAACTTTTCCCAAATAACATTTAGTACATTTTAAATTATAATCGACCACTCACAAAGTTTCACAAAACACTATCTTCTCTATGTGTGATGCACTCTGATATTTTTAATGCTATTCTACATTTAAAAATGTTGGCAGTGACCCACTTAATTGATTTCACAACTCTTTAATAGGATATGACCTGCAGTTGGAAAACCAGTGATTTGGTCCAACAGATGAAAAAGATGGAAGTATGAGGAAACTGAGTGGCTTAAATTCATAAAGAAATTGAGTGGTAATTATTTGCACATTCTGTGCAAGTCAGTAATTGGCCTCCAGAATGTAACTTTTCTGTATATTATTTACATTAGTTTAATTTAGCAGTCCCCAATCTTTTGGGCACCAGCGGGGGTTGGGGGAGAGGAGAAATGGTTATAGGATGATTCAAGTGTATTACATTTATTGTGCACTTTATTTCTATTATTATTACATTGTAATATATAATGAAATATTCATACAACTCACCATATGCTAGGGTTAGTGTGTGGGTTTACCAAAACCATGACTGAGACAAGTGCACAGTGAAGGAAAGAGGCACGAACGGAAGTGGTAAATAAAAAATAATGGGCGGGCCCCATGCAGACTAAAGTAAGTGTCAGATTCTGACTTAAAGCCTGCCACCAGATGCTGCTTAATTGTTACTTGCCACTCACTGATAGGGTTTTGATATGAGTCTGTAAGCAACTGATTTATTATGGCCATTGCAGTCAAACCTCCTTGTTAATGATAATGTGTATTTGCAGCTGCTCCTCAGTGCTAGCATCACTGCCTCAGCTCCACCTCAGGTCATCAGGCATTAGATTCTTGTAAGGAGCAAGCAAACCAGATCCCTTGTAAACGCAGTTGACAGTAGATGGAACTCAGGCAGAAACAGCTGTAAATATAGATGAAGCTTCACTCGCTGGCCTACTGCTCACCTTCTGCTGTGTGACTGGGTTCCTAACAGCCCATAGACCGCTACTGGTCCATGGCCCAGGGGTTGGGGATCCCTGGTCTACCTCATTCTTGCTTGATTTCTGCTCCCCTTACTCTTCATGCCCTTACTATTTACTTTAATGTTTCATACCCAGTTTTTCTACTTATGCCTTTGAATTTGATACTGCTTACATGGACAGTATTAAACTCACTGGGTGAACTGGTATCTTCAACTAACAACCCTATAGAAGATTAAGAATCCTAGGTCAATACTGCCACCAGACAAAAAAGCAGATAAAAACTTAAATGTTAAGAGAAAATGAAAAAACAGCATCAGGCTAACTTTATCAATAAATGAGAACAAAGATTTAGTAGACAAATATTTGTTTTACACCTACTCTATGCTGGTCAATATACCTCTGTCACATATTATTTTCTTCCTTGGATTATACTTATGTCTTATCTCCCACATTAAATTACAAGCCACTGGAAGACAGAATCCAGGCACATTTTCTTTGAATTTCCTGTAGCATCTAGCAAAACATCTTGAGATTAATAAATAGTTGATTAGAGATAAATACTTGCCGAATGAACAAGTCAAACATCAATACACAAATAAAGAACTACCTTGGCTCTCAAACTTCTTCCTCTTAGCAATATAATATCAAAGAGAAAGCATTGTTCTGAGTATCCACTGTCTGTGCCCACAAATAAACAAATAAAATATTGGAATAATCTTAACCAGTGGTTATGTAAAATGTAATCACCTATCCTTGAAAGGGGAAACAGCTGAACAGCTGAACTGGTGCCCGAAACTGCACCATCTGACCCAGCATGCTCACATGAGACCACTGAATAAGGTTAATGTAACTTCATGATATCATTGTCAAATACTTATTGAGAGGCTACTTATGGGCCAGGGATTGCGCTAGGTGCTGGGCTACAGTGGTGGACAAGAGTTCTCAGAGAGCTTTCAGTCTGTATGGAAGACCATCACAAGAAAGCAGGATAAGTGCAGAGACAGGAGGAATTCCTGGAAGAGGCAGTGAGTCAGAGTTCAGGTAAGGCAAGGGTGTGAGGGGGAGGCTTAAAGAAGGGTTCTTAGAGGAAGCAATAGATTGATATCTGAACAATGAGGGAAAGCTAGATGAGCAAGATCTAGGCAAGAAAATCTAGGCAGAAAATATGGTGGGTAACTGCACCCTATTTTAAAAGAATCTGGAAAGCTCATTATATTCTTCATAGAACTTTTACCTTCCTTTGCTAATTCATATGCCCTACACTCCTCCTCCAACCATCAACCCCGGATCCAGCCTCCCAACATTACGGACTGTCGCACTGGTCATGGACAAGCCTTATACTGGACAAAACAGCTTTAGAGCATAAAATAACAAGAGATTGATTCGACTCTCTACTGTTTTCTGCTAAAACTGCTGAACACATGGGTATACAATGGAGCATGGATATAATAAACATGCACCAGGAAAACAAAATCCACCTAATCCTTTAAATAATTCCTCTACAGCTGTAATAAAAACAAACTCTGGCCTAGACATTATTTGAACACTTTAATTTTATAATTTGATGATATCTAATTTTCCTTAAATAAGAAAACACAAAAGAGGAATTAGAGGAGGAAAGTTACATGAAAATAGTGTGGAGGTTAAGAAAGGTAACAGCTGAGGCCTGGGCAAGGCCTATGGAATCACCAAGAAGTAAACTTATTTTCAGATCAATGACAGTCAATAGTTTTTGTTTACCCTCACTTTGCTTTAATTAAAAGGTGCCATGACATCCATAGAGATTTCTTTTAAAACCTTACAGGTGCTGTTACGTCTTGGAGAGCTTTTCTTGTATCTATGGGAGTCAGCTCGAACTTATCTAAACCTCACATGCAGTTCAATGTTCTCGGTGGGTACAGCTTTAGTGAGGCTCAGCAGCATTCCAGGACGCCCCTGCAGGAGTTGACTGTCTGCACCAACAACGGCAGCTGGGGCACTGTGGGTCGCAGCGTGCACTCCTTGGATTGTGTACGACCTACCAACTTTGTCTTCTTAGTTTGATTTCTCACAAATCAAATTTTAATTTTTTGTTTATCAAAAAACTAAGAATAACACTTTACAGCTAGTTGTATTTTTAAAGGATATACAAAAAGTTCAAAAATAATTTTGGAGTCCATCATCCCAACCAGCTAGCCCACTTACATTACCTCCTTTTAATCTTCTACTGCTGAAAATAGAGCATTTCCCTTCGACTCTCACATATTTAGTTACAACCTAATAAAAATGGTGGGGTTGCCAATGACCTAAATAAGAACAGTTAGTTCAAGATTCTAATCCCTATTTCCAGGATTAGAATATTCACAATACCTGCTGCTTTAAACACTCAAACTTTTTAGTTTCCCAGTTTCAAAGTTGAGACCTGCCTGGGCTAGAAAGTTCCAATTTTACTTTTTCAATTTCTGATACATAAAAAACAAACAAGCCTGTTTTTCACTTAAGTGAACACGAGATCGATGATAGCTCACCAAGTTTCTGCTGAGCAGAGAGCACAGCTGCAGGGTTGCTACAGCAACCCCTGTACACAGACCACAGCTTACCCCAGTCCAGGAAGGAAATCATTTGCTCCACCCCCTGTGGACTCGAAGGCTCTGGCAAGCAGCCGTCAGTGAGCTGAGACACATTTTCAGTCCAGCAGGTGTGATGGAGGAACAAAAGGCCATTCTTTATTGTCGCTCAGTGAGAAATGTCACCCCAACAACCAAACAGACTCCAAACCAAATTGCCGTGTGTGATTCTTTATTTCTGTATTATTTACCTGTTCCTACTAGAAACCCAAGCTAGGGTACAAGCCAAAGCAATGTCCTCCCAGGCACACAGAAAAAGAAAAAAACACAAAAACAAAACTTCCCCTTCCACGCCGCCTGTTACCACCCCCCCCACCAAAAACCCCAAGTAAATTAGAATATTCCCATTTTTATGAAGAACGCATTTTGACTCTTACTTTCAGGCTTTAAGCCATATACACTTAGGTTCTTGACACTTTTTCCTCCACTCAGATTTACCATTTATTGAGTTTGTACTCAGTGCCGACCCTTTTGCTGGGTGCTTTAACATGTTACTTCATCTACTCTTCAAAATATAATCCCCACTTTACAAATGAGAAATGAGGGTCCGAAAATGTATTTGGTGTCCGAGCTACTAGATGGTGGAGTCACAATTTGAACCCACGTCACCTAATTCTGAAATCCTGTTTTTTCTACCACACTACACTCATTTTGTAAGGAAATTCTAAATTTGAGTATTCAAGCATTCCTTAAAATGACTTAAATTTTTTTTATGGTATTTTGTTTTAGAAACAAATTTCCACACATAATGATTGCTGGTAAATGAAATATATTCATCCATCTTCCTGAGTGCACAGAAAACAAAGGCACAGAAAGAGAGGGCTGCATTATGGTCCCAGCGAGGGCCTGTTTGGTTGTTGGTGGTGGGTTTTTTGTTTTATTTTGGCTAAGTCTAAATTACAGAAATTACATCATTGAGGATGAAAGGGAAAACAGAAAAATAAGTAAGGTGACAAAACTGAGTTTAGATGCCGTGCTCTGCGGAGCATCTCTGGGGCTGAAGGAGCTGATGGAGGGGGAATGAAAGGGACCCTTGTGCCTATTTAAACCAGAGGGAGAGAAACGTTTACCTCCACCTTTAGCTATTTGTGAGGACCATTCCAAGTACCGGTCTGCCCATTTTCGGTCATCTCCCCACTTCAGGTATGGAAAGGCCTTCTAACATAGTACTGCACATCTTCTCTCACTGAGAATGAGTCCTAGTTCTCCCCAGGAAGACCAGAACTGTCCCCTTCACTCACACACACTTTTGGGAATTTCCCAGGAGGATATAAAGACTGTCTTCTGAAACCAGTTTTCCTAGATCCCTGAGATCCTGACCAAACATTCTGCTGCACCCATAGCTTGAGCATTCCCCAGCTACGGATTCAGTACAGATGTACCTCCAACTCTGTCCCTTTGGAGTCCCCATTCCTTATGCTGACGGCCTGCTTTCTGAGCTCCTCCCTTCCGTGTGCCTTTTCTGTCAGGCTTCAGGTTTATTTCAATCAATGTCTTCGATTCTCCTGTTGTCCTAAAGGATTTCAGTGAGAAACCAAAGAAAGTTCAGAAGAGTCATACTAGTTTCCATAGGCTTCAGGAAAGATAAATCAACAAATGTAAATTTCTTATAAAGCATACACAGAAATCTCTTTATAGCACTGATTTAAAAATATAAAAAATAAGAATGTAGCATATTTCCTCCAATTTTTGCTAGATGAAGTAATGAAATATCCAATTCCTTCCTATACTTTCCTATAAAAAATTAAAAATTTGCCAGTTTTGTGGGTCCTAGAAATTCACATTCTTGATTCATATTGATGAATATTATATATAATACAAAACTAAAAGTCATCAAAAGTTGTAGTTATAAAACTAGATTTGTAAAAGAGAATGAGACTAGTAGAGGAAAGCTTCTGCAGCTGAGTTGTCATCTAGAAATGAAATAACTATGGGTTCTTATTTGTAATTGTCATAGAAACTTGGACTAAAGGCTTCTTCACAAAGCTTTTTAATTCCACCCCCCTCCAAAAAAGAAAAACATTTCACAGCTCTAAAACAAAATAGAGAGGAGGCACTAGCAGAGTTAAAAGACCTTTCCATACTCTGTTCATTTTATATTGCTTCTTAGGGTTACAGGCTTACAGGCCCACCCAAAGAGAAAGAGGAGTGGTACTTGACATGGTATTTCAAATTTAACTCAATTTAAGTATCATCAATTTAGTATAATTTCTTAGATTTAGCTTGAGATATCTGAGAAGTGAACACTGTTCTAAAATATTAGTATTTCAGTCAATAAAAAAACCAATCATTTATTATTTGGGATTCTTAGGAGGTCACTGGGCATTAATTTAAAAAATACTACAACTTGACACTTTATAGAGGCTAGAAACATAATTCAAAATTTCATAAAGGTATATTAAATTACAACCACTTCAGACAATTTAGGATCTCACTGACAGAGTTCGCTTAAGGTGATAGTTTTGCTAGTGTTACTGTTCCCACATGATATCATCTCTCCTCAATTTTGTTTGAAGATTATGGACTTGTATTGGATGAAAGTTGCTGTTCTTCTGAAGAGAGTTATTTAGCAAACATTTTCTGGGGCTATTTTTTATGTTCTTTGATCCTTTAGGGTTTCTATCTTCTCGTTGAATACCTGAAGATTCATTCATCTTTGAGTTTTGAAATTTTTGCTGAAGTTTACGAACCTGGAGAGAAAAAAATCTAACATTTTAGTCAAAAACATTAAAAATATATTCTATAATAGATGGATTGGATTGATGGTTTAAAAATTACATAAAATTGAAAAGCCCATTAAGCTTTTATTTACTGAATACCTATCTGATACCTAGTACTGTGCTCATCAGGTAGAAATGTAATAAAACAATCCTTGCTCTCAAGCAGCTTATTACTCTTACCATTGAAAGGAAAGCATACACATGACAGCTAGAGAGTGATTCAAGCTGGGATAACTTGGAGTAGGACGAAAACAGTGTATCTGAGAAGGAACAAGTGGGACAGAGTCAATGTGGGGTGGAGAAGCTGAGAGGAAGGTGTATGGAGGGTCTGAAGTGGGTAAAAAATATACAACAGCGGAGAGAGGACCTTTCGAGAGACATTAACAGGAAAGATCTAGTGCTAGGAATGAGCATCAAGTTTATAGTCAAATATATGTATATTACTTAAAAGCATTGCTGAATGTAAAGTAGTCCTGAATGCCAGTAACAACAACAAAACTGACAAGGGAATAACCCTACCTCACTGAGGAGTATCTGGTAATGGTTGGGTGGACAGAACTATACAAAACAAAACCTATCAACTAGTTAAAACCCATTTCCTCCAAGTCCAGTCTATTACTCAGTCTATTTCACTATACACAGGCTGAATTTGTGGAGCTGATCCAGACACAGGTGAAGTATCTGATGTTCATCTGAGGCCATTTTAACTGCCTTAGACAAATAGAACATTTTAATTGCAGCCATTAAATTTACCATGATAAAATACTTGAAAACATAATATGTTCAAAATATAATTTATGAACAGACTGCCTAAATTTTGAAAAAGGCTATTTTTCTATCCCCTTCAAGTTTCCCCTAAGCATAGAAGTTATATAATTTTCACCCTAGCACAATCATACAAAAATTTTTACTTACTGTAGCCTTAAAAGCTACTAAAGTGAAAACATTTGTTTCAAAAACATTCATTTCCCTCTTTCTTTCTTTATTGACTATAACAGAATAAAAGCAGTAAAATTCTGCATCCTTTATTACTGTCCCACAAAGTGAGGGAGGCTTAATTGTGAAGTTAATACATCACCAACTTACATGAATGCTGATTATTATATAGGCAGATGGCTACATAATGTGACTTGAGGGCTCCTGGAAAGATTCCCTCTGCCTTCTACTCTAAAAGTGTAACGGTGCTAATGATCCAACCTATGAAGTCATTGTCTTGGCATAAAACACTGTAATATTCCATGATCCCTCTGTTAAAATTGGCATGCCACTCTTGATTATTAAGAGCTCACGTGCAAGGGCAGGTAGGGTCCCCTCACCGCCCACTACCGCTGGCTGAGCACAGGGCCTCAGGGAATGCAACACAGCACAGCTTCCTCTGGGAGAGGAAAAACGGTGGTTTAGAACTGGCTGCTGCTTAAGGAGCCAGGTTTGTGTATGGTACCGAGTTAGAGAGGGGTCACGGATAAGGGGCTTCATTAAGGTATTAGGAGAGGAAGGGATAAGGGGGAAATGCTACAAGGGTAACTGGGACGGCTACAAAGCATTTTCAGCACACCTCACCATTTTCCCGAAGACATTCTGGACACGTAACTAAACTTTCTCCCTTTTCACTATCTTGTCTTGGACAGTTATGTTCAGGAGAATATGTTATTCCAATAGGACAGATGGGTCTATTCTATAATAGGCCTAAAAGACTCCTGTTTATTATCTTTCCACTAAGTCTTACATCAAACCTCAAATTTGGAAGGTCATACAGAGATATAATACTGCATCCAGAAATATTATAGTTTTATTAAAATCTTTTACTAAAGCCATCTTACATTGTCTTGATGCTTCATCAGTTTGGAAATCTGTTCTCCTTTAATTTCCATTTTTTTAATTAAATGCTCCAGTTCACATTCTATGTCTTCACAGACTGAATGGCTTTCAGTATCCTTCATTTGACTCAGTAGTTCTTGGTGCTCTCTATGAAAGAAAAACCAATATTAGGCCCTGCTATAGTTTATGGTCTATGTCTTTGCCATAATTAAACAATAAAATTCAATGATAAATTTTAGTCAGTTAAATATTAATCTTCAAAGATAGTCTCCTTCTATAATTAGGGCTATCTAATTAAATCTATGGTAAATTATAATCAGGTTCTTGTGATGTGAGATTAGATACATTTAGAAATATCTTAGAGTCTTAACCTTAAAAAAAGTCTGAATTTTTGACATGTATAGCTAAATGTAGTAAAATATTCTAATGTCCTTAGCAAGAGGCATTAGAGTATTCTCTTTAGTTCTAACTTTGGAATTATTAATGTAGGATCTTTGGAAGAATTCCAGTTATAGAAGTATTTGCCAGATAAATCTCTAAATTAGGTGATAGCCTACTCGAGAACTAGTTACATATTCTACATTGCTCTTAGTTCAGTTAGTTGGCCAAATCACGTATTTTCTGAAATTTTGTTAAATATATATTTAAACCTGGGACTTAAAATATGTATCCCATTCAGAATCTTGTTTATTATGGATGCTGCAACTTGTAATGCAGACCAGCCAGAGTCTAAAAGAAGAAGCTGCAAGATTATAAAAAATAAAATCTTTCTTATAAAAGCTTTTATGAGTTATAATTTAAGATCACCAGACCCCACATTTTGACTGTCAGTAATACTGGTGGATATATTCAGATCTTGGGAATACAGAAACTCCTCAGACTAAAACAGCAGTAATTACACACAGATAAAAATTTATATCCAGTGGTATCAATAAATACAATGAAAAATCAGTGACAAAACTGTGCAGATCAAAATAAGTCCAAACAGCTAAGTAAGGCCATTAAGAATTTATAAATGGGAACTGTTCTTAAGACTAAGAAGGGAAAAAGTTCCAAAATATCTTGCTGCTTCTTTGGATAAAGAATAAAAATACTTACATACTCATTTGGTCCAGTTCATCTTGCATTGCCATCAAAAGTTCAGACAAATTGTCACAGATGGAAGCAGGTTTTTCTGAGTCAAGAGGTACCACTTTACACTGGGAAGCTGTCTTTGTAGGCTTGTAGCGACATCTAGGCTCAGAAACTTCAGCAGGTTTCTGAAGACTATGTGGTCCATAATGTTGCATCATGTGCAGGAGGTTTTGCATACTTGCATTTACAGAATGGCGGGCAGTGGCAGACTTTAGGGGAAAACAAACAGCTAAGAATAGTTTCAAGTGACTGATGGCATTTAAATACAACTTAAAACAAAGGAGGAACTTTTTGAACAAGTATCTTCGTTTTTCCCCCTCTCACCTTCTCAGCCACAATAGGCAGTGATCCAAACTTTGAATAAATTTGCTGAGGTGGTTCTCTCTTTAAACATTTAGTTTTCTAAATATTGAGAAGAGAAAAAGTAAACAAAAATATTTTATAAGACATTTAAGACATGAAGAAGTCTCAAGCCTCAAACAGAAGTCTCAAATAGTAAATAGTCTGATGAGAAAATAGGCAAAAAACAGAGATTTCTATGAAGATGACATACAGGTGGCAAATAAACAGATAAACAGATGCATTATCTACAGTCATTAGGAAACTGCAGTTTACAGTGAAGAGCACTATACACTTACCAGAATGGCCAAAATAAAAACTACTGATGATACCAAATGCTGGCAAGGATGTGAAGAAACCGAATTGCTCATACACAGTTGGTGGGAATGCAAAATAATACAGTAACTTTGGGAGCTTCTTGTAAAACTAAATATATACTTATCATATGACCCAACAATTACACTCTTCAACATTTCTCCCAGAAAAATAGTTATTTTTACATATAAAACTGCACAAAGATGTTCATAACAGCTTTATTTGTGATAGCCCAAAACTGAAAACAACCCAACTCTCTTTCAATAGGTAAATGATTGAACTGTGTAACCTCTATGACATGGGCTACTAAGAGAAATAAAAAGACTGTGTTAATACTTGGATGGCTATCAGGGGAACTGGCTGAGTGAAAAAGTGGATCTCAAAAGGTTACATGCTGCATGACTTCCTTTATGTAACATCCTTGTGATAAAATTATAGAGATGGTGAACAGATCAGAAGTTGCCAAGGGTTACGGAGGGGCATGCGTAGCTATGAACGGATTGTGGAAACAGCCTTATGGTGGTGGAATAGTTCTGTTATTGATTGTGGTGATGGTTACATGAATCTACACATGTGATAAAACTATATGAACTCATATACACATACATCTGCATACACAAGTGATATAAAATTGGTAAAATCTGAGTAAGTTCTCTGTATTGCACCAATGTCAACTTCCTGGGTTTTATACTATCCTATTCTATCCTATCCTATCCTATCCTAATGCCAGATATTACCACTGTGAAAAACTGGTTAAAGATAGAGGGGAGCTCCCTACATGTATTTTTGTAATCTCCTGTGATTCTTTAACTACTTCAAAGTAAAAAGTAAAAACAAAGCAAACAAAAAATACGTGATAAGGATATGGAACAATAATAAATGTTGGCGAAAACATAAATTGGTCCAATCACTTTGGACATTATCTTGTAAAGTTAGGGATGCACGACTCTTATGGCCCAGCATCTAAGAGAAACTTCTGTAAATATATACCAGGAGGCAGACAAAATGTTCATGACAGTGTTGTTTATAATAACAAAAAGTGAGAAACAATCCACATGATCACCGAAAGGAGGAAGAATGAATAAAGCTTTGAGTCATAAAGTGCAATGAATCACAGGTATATAAATCAACTGGATGGATCTCATAAACTTACATGCTGAATGCAAAAAGCAAACTGCTGAAGAACAGAAACAAAATTAGGTCTATTTATATAAAGTTCAAAGTTATATAAAACTATTATATATATATATTTTTAAAAACATATTTTTACTGATTATGCCATTACAGTCTTCCCAATTTTCCCTCTATCCCCCCTCTGCCCTGTCCCCCCAAACCCTCCAGCATTATCCCCTTAGTCCACGTCCATGGGTTGTACATATAAGTTCTCTGAGTCCTCTGTTTCCCATACCATTTATTATCTCTCTCTGTCTACCTTACGCTTACTAACCATGCTTCTTCTTCCCTGTAACTGTCCCCGTCACCCCCAACTGAAATCCCTCTATGTGATGTCCATTTCTCTGATTCTGTTCCTGTTCTGGTTGTTTGCTTAGTTTTTGTTTTTGTTTTTTTCCCTTTTAGGTTCATTTGTTGATAAGTTGTGGGTTTGTTGTCATTTTACTGTTCATAGTTTTGATCTTCTTTTCCTTAGATAAGTCCCTTTAACATTTCATATACTAAGGGCTTAGTGATGATGAACTCCTTGAACTTGACCTTATCTGGGGAAGTACTTTATCTGCCCCTCCATTCTAAATGAAAGCTTTGCTGGATAGAGTAACCTGGGATGTAGGTCCTTGACTTTCATGACTTCAAATACTTCTTTCCGGCCCCTTCTTGCCTGCAAGGTTTCTTTTGAGAAATCAGCTGATAGTTCTAACGGGAACTCCTTTGTAGGTAACTCTTTCCTTTCCTCTTGCAGCTTTTAAGATTTTTCTCTTTATCTTTAATGTTGGGTAACTTGATGATGTGCCTTGGTATGTTCCTCTTTGGGTACAAACTTCCTTGGGACTCTGGGCTTCCTGGAAGTCTACTTCCTTCACCAGATTGGGGAAGTTCTCCATATTCTTTTAAATAAGTTTTCAATTTCTTGGTCTTCCTCTTCTCCTTCTGGCACCCCTATAATTTGGACATTGGAATGTTTCAGGTTGTCCCAGAGGTTTGTAAGAGTCTCTTCACTTTTTCGGATTCTTGTTTCTTCATTTTGATTTGGATGGATGTTTGTTTTTCCCTTTTGTTCCAAATCGTTACTTTGACTCCTGGTCTCCTTCCTGTCACTGTTAGTTCCCTGAACATTCTGCTTTATTTCACTTTGGGTGTCCTTCATTTGTTTTTTCATTTTTCGTCCAAAATCAACCAGATCTGTGAGGATTTTGATTACCAGGGCTTTAAATTCTCCAACAGATAGGTTGGCAATTTCCTCCTTGCTTAGCTGTCTTTCTGATGTTATACTGTTCTTTCATTTGGGCCATATTTCTTTGGGTGCAGCTGACAGGTTGTAAGGGGATGGGGCCTTAGGTATTCACCGGGGCTGTGGTGCTGCCCGTGGGGGAGTGGCTAGCCTGCTGGCCTCTAGCACACTTTTCAATGGTCTCTCAGAAGAATCTCGTGTGAGACTGGGAGACTCTCCCATCGCAGCGCCCCCAGCCATAGCCCACAGCCATCTCTGAATTCCTTTGAGTCAGCCCCTCCCACACAGCCCACAGAGCTAGGCAGCAAGCCTGCCCCCAAGGTTACTGGGTAGCTACAGTTTTTCTGAGTCAGCCCATGCAGTCCACCTGCCTTACCGATCTGGTTGTTTTGGTTGACTTTTTCTTTAATTCCTTTGTTGTCAGAGTTCTATGCAGTTTGATTTTGTGGCACTTTTGGTTGTTTACTGATTTCAGATGGGTTGTTATCCTCCTTTTTGGTTGTGCAAGAAAACGAAGGGTCTCTACCTACACCTCCATCTTGGCTGGAACTCTCAACATCATATTTTTTATAATGAAAGAAAACTTCCCCAATTTGGTGAAGTAAACAGACATGTAAGCTGAGGAAGCACAGTGAGTCCCACACAAGAGGGATGCAAAGAGGCCCACTCCAAGACATGTCAAAATTAAAATGCCAAAGGTTAAAGATAAAGAGATGGGAGAGGGGTGTGGGAGAATGGGTGAGAGGTGAGAGGATCAAGAAGTACAAATAGGTAGTTACAGAACAGCTATGGGGATGTACAGTACAGTATAGAAAATGGAGTAGCCAAAGAACTTATACATATGACCTGTGGACATGAACAAAGATGGGTGAATTGTCTGAGAAAGTGGGGGGTGCTGGGTGGAGGGGGGGCAAAGGGAAAAAAAACTATAATAGCATAATCAATGAAATATAATTTAAAAATGAAGAATAAAACTATATTTTTGGTAAGTACTTATTTCCCAAATAAGTATTTTTTAGAAATCACTTATTTACAAAGTGATTTATCTTAATAAATGCCAGTGAATGATAAACATAAAATCAGAATTGTGGCTAGCCCTGAGAAGGGGGAGAGTGGATACAATTTAGAAGGGGAATATGCTGGGCTTTGTGGACCCTGAAAAGAAAGATTCATTTGACGCGAACCCCAAGAAGAAATTCCTCTGCTGAAACAGACTTGATATAGTTAACTGAAGGCCCAAATTTTATAAATAATAAAAGTCTAGCAGCCATTTGCTGATGGGCTTCTCATATACTTTGTATGCCAGAAAGATCCGTAGACTGCCCTGTCTGGATTACTGGATTGAATGCTAGCCTGTGAACTGAAAGGTCACTGGTTCCATTCTCAGAGCACATGCCGGGTCCCTAGTTATCGAGAGGCAAATGATCAGTGTATCTCTCACACATTAATATTTCTTTCCTCTTTCCCCCTCCCTTCACATCTCTCTAAAAATAAATAAATAGCCCTGGCTGGTGTAGCTCAGTGGATTGAGCGTGGGCCTGTGAACCAAAGGATTGTGGCTCCATTCCCAGTTCGGGCACATGCCAGAGTTGCAAGCCAGTTCCCAAAAGGGGACGCACGAGAGGCAACCATACACTGATATTTCTCTCCCTCTCTCCTTCCCTTCCCCTCTAAAGATAAATAAATAAAAATCTTAAAAAATAATAATAAATAAATAAAAGTAAAAACAAACTAACAACAAAAAAAAACAAACTGTAGCCTAAATTTTCATTTTCCACACTACACCATTCTTGTTTATGTCATTTATCCCAACCCTCTGGCCTCAGCTACCTCGGGCAGAGCAAAGCTGGCCTGAGCTCCACCTGCCATCTCCACCCCGCTTACCCCGCCCCCTCCATAGCAGGAGGTGAGCAGCAGAAAGCTTGGGAAATGCTTATAGTTCAGTCAGGGCATGGAAATGCTGGTTTCACTTTTCTACTGATACCTGCCCTGTCCGATCAGAACTACACGATTTGGATACCTTATTTACATAAAATGAACCTAATTATGAATGTGGGCAGGAATTTTTGCTATAAAAGACAGCCTCTCCTTTGTTTCTGTGGCACACAGTTTAGGTTGCTACCTGAATCTGTGTTTCCCAGGCTGCAGCTCCTTCTTGCTTCAGATAAATGCTTTTTATCCTTTGTTACGATCTAAAATTAATTTTGGTTTACAGGTTTAATAGTGCTGATAATGTTTTATTTCTTAAGCTGGGTGGTGAGTACACCAGCATTAATTTTACTGTCATCTTTCAAGCAGACACATTTTTGTTATATATACTCTTTCATAAAACATTTAAAAAAACATACTGCTAAACTAATTTTTAAGTTCTTAGAAATAATTTACATTATTTCACTATTTTTGTTGCAGGGATTGAACTAGGGTGACCCTTCTTCTCAATTTGTCCATGATGAGGGAGTTCATAGAACACAAGGAAAGTCTCAGGAAAACTGGGGTAAATTAGTCAACTTTAGTTAACACTTCAGCAAGAGACTATAATCAACAAAATGACCATATTCCACAATGAAAAAAAAAACCCAATTCTAAGTGGAAATTTAGACAGCACAGATATTATAAGCATTCATTTTTTTTAAAAAAAGAGAATTAAATCAAAATGACTTAAAGGTAGATAAATCACAACAGTTTTGAGTCAGTTCTTATTCACTTAAGAGATGCTTGGTGCCCTTGGACAATCAATCATTCGAGCTCTGTATCTTAGTAATAGGAATTTCAAGTAATGAAAAATAATGGCCTCTTCTAAGGCTATTTCAAGCAGTTATAATTAAGAGCAAAAGAATTTTAAGTTAATTTTTCTAGTCACCACACTGAATGAGATCTCTGGTTGATTACAATCTAACCTTTTAAGAGAAGAATGAAAACTTCATAGGAAAGTTTTCCATTATCGCTTACAATATTCAGACTGACTCTGCTTCCAAGCTCACCTTTACGTTGCTGCAGTTACCATCTAGAAGTACAGCTCTGATCATGTCTTTACTCATCTCAAAAGCCTTTAATGTTTCCCAACTGCTTACAGATTAAAAGTTGAAATTCTTAATATGGCACTGAAGGTCAGCCATAATCTCATCTCAAGCTATATTTTCCATTTTAATTCTCACCATGACACCATCTCATCCTCAGTACTGGACAATTATCTATGAGTTTGAGGAAAAACCAACTATGTCCTCAGACCATAATACACTTCTCATTTCTAACAATACCTATGCATTCTCCACGGCTGCCTTTAATGCTGCTTCTTGTACAATCCCTTCACACATTCCTTGTGCAGAATCACAACACCGTGTTTATACCACTGTTGTTTTTATTTTACTTTAATATTTGTACATTTATCTGCTTCTATAAATTCCTGTCTTATTTATCTCTTTACCACCTAGAGGCAGCAGTCCATGTAAATCAAAATGTATGGGTTGAATGAACTCCACTCAGGGTACGAAAAAAGTGCCAGTGAGATAAGTAGGACTCACACACAGGTCTCCTAAGATATGATTCCACCTTCACCAACATTGCTCCTGCCATTCTTTTAAAGGGAAGCATTAATTCTCGTGGGCCCTATAAATTTAGGATTGGAGCTAACTACTTTCATAAAGTGATTTTGCTGTTAATCAGTAATTTTTTTCTTTTCTAGGAGGTACCTTTTCTTTCCTTCATTTCTTTTACCCTTTTTCTCCCTCTACCTTCGTCACTTTCACACTGAATATAAAAATGTTTTAAAAATTTCCACTAACTCATCAAAGAATACCATAAAACAAATATAAAAATATTTCATTATTTTTCCACTGGCAAATTACTTAGAGTGATTTTGTATTTGGCTTTGCAGCTTCTAATCTCATTTACAAACAAGATATAGACCAAATATTTAAGGAAGAAAATAAGCAAAAAAATGGAAATAAAAAATCAAAGTACTTTCACTGGGAAAATTGTTTTTTATTATTACAGTTTGCAAATTCTCTGAAATAAAAAAAATTATGAAAAACACAGCCAGACTATTATTGCACAGTAACTCTTGCTTATGCAATACAAGAGTAGTCAAAGTTAAGTATAAAGTTCTCTCCATTATTATATCCATAGGGGAGCCTACGGCAGTGGCCAGAATTCTCAAAAAGTGTCTCTGCTCCCACAGCAAATAGCGCACAGAGATACTCACTACATGTATATTGAACAAACAGTAATAATGGTCATCAAAACTACAATTTCAGACTTGTAAGATTAAAAGGGATTACAATTTCTTACCATTACAGATATTAAAGAAGGTTTAATACAATTTACCCAAAATACCAACTAATTTAAATAAAATACTGGTCAATCTATAAAGCACTAACTTCCCAATTCTTATTTTTTGGCAATACCAAAGAATATAAACATAAAAAGAACATACTAATAAATTCTCTAGAGAAATTCCTTCACAGGTCTATAATTTAATACTATATAGCTTACTCTTTTTATTGTAAATCTATTGCATAAAACTGCTGCCAGGTTTTACTGTGTTGTCTGCATCTATTGTGTTGATTAAGTGACTCTTTTATTATAAAAGTGTCACAAAATACAGTACTCTGAGAGGTGAATAATACGAAAATGTTTATCATTCTAGAAAAAACAGAATGCTTATTGTTATTTCACAGGGACATATACACTGTCCAGTACATGGTCCTATTTGCTTTCCTTGTCAGGCAAACTCAACTAAGTTTTGCACTCAACTGCTGTGGAGGTTTTGTGGAGAAAATTTACAAAATTTTCTGTCCTTACACCCCAACCCATCATCACTCGATTCATGTTTTTATCTTCATTTCATAGCAGCATTGTGTGTCTTTTATTATAAATCACTTCAAATTATTTCTGGAAATGGATAGGTATAAATGTTAAAAGAGTAAATAGATAAATATTAGCAAATAAAATAAAGTGTTTGCATACCTTTGAAGATTTCTTTTCCTTAGATCGTTTTGAATTTGATACTGAAGACATTAAAATTCTATTGACTTCAAGTCCAGTTTGAAGCTACAATATTTAAGACAAAAGTTTGTAACATTGATTTTTACAATGAAAGATCAAGTCTCAGTTTATAAAGATAATAATACTTTTTGAAAAAAAAAAAAAGGAAACCCAAACTACTATTTTTATGTGTGTGAAAGTCACTAAATCTACTGGTAATTACAGTCATTTTCTATTTATAAGAGAATGAATAATTTAATATGTATCAACCAAGCTGAAAACAATATATAACCAGGAGTTTTTATATGTGTATGTGTATATGTGTATTTATAATGTCAAAATTTCAAAACACCAGAAGACCTCTTGGCAATGCATTCAAGGATACGAATGTACTGGATGACTTACTGAGAAGTCCATTATTATAGCATAAAAAAGACAAAACTAACAAGCTAGGAGGCAGAAACTAGTGTCTAGAATATAAACTGCAGTTAGGAAACTAAAGTATAATAAAACATATGTGTTTTACTGTGATACATGATATAGTGCTCTATTTACCTCAGAAGCTTTGTCTTGAAATAGCTTACGCTGATGTTCTTCTTCCTTAAGTTTTTCCTCTAAATGTTTAATCTTGTCCTGCAAAAGAATAAAATAACTAGAGCCAAATATCATTTGTTCCTTTTCCAAACAGAGCCCTTGGAGTCTGGATTATTAATGATGTAGCAAATTAAAGCAGAAAGTAAGGAAAAGGAATGGCAAAAGACGCTAAGGTTTTTCTTGGCTTTCTACCTATGCTCCTTTACCTGCTATTACACATAAGAACAAAGGGAAAGCAAAGAATGTACATGCATGGGCATTACTCACTTTCAGCAACAAAACTTTGGGGGGGGGGAATATGTATTAAAGGTCTAGAAGGCCAAGCAATTATAGTTTTGGGTATCAGTGTTTCATCAAAAACACAGGCAAATCACAATAAATGTCCATCATGTGCACAGCTGGAGCAGGGAAGTGATAGGAAGACATTAGAAATATTAAGATACGGTCCTCATTATTTAAGAGCTTATCTTACATTTAGGAAGTCAAAAGTAATAAAATGCAAAACAAACAACAGAGAAATTAATGTGATTTGGCCCAGACCATGTATATACTTATACATATAAGTATTTCATCTTATATCCTTGGTGTGGTTCAGACTAGGAGGACAGTGCTATTTCAAAGGAAGAGTTTCCTGAGTGTCGGAGAACTCAAGGACAGCTTCGTCGAGTTAGCAGGATCTGGAGAAAGCCCTATAAAATGAATAGATTTGGCTGGAAAAAGGAGAGAACATTTCAGGACAGGACCTAGGAGAGGCTTTACTTAACTGCAAGGGGTGAAAGACAATATTCTTAATACTCTTTAGGTAAATCATCTAAAATGAAAATGTTCTGCCATCTCAGAGGCAGCCAAAATTACAATTTCAACAGGCAAGCTCATTCATGCTGTGACAGAATATATTAACTTTTCACCTCCATAGGCAGGAATTCATGTCTGGATTACTAAAAGTTGTTAAAGTAGTTTTATAAATCTAAGACTTACTGTACATTCACATACAGAGCCAATTATGCCTAACACTAAAGATTTATTCCTGGCATCACCACTTCAAAAAACAAATGGAAGCTTACCTCAGCAGTTTTCTGAGTTGTTGTAAGTTTAAAACATTCTTTTTCTAAGACATCAAGCTTTTCAAGTTTTGCTTGAAGCTTCATCTGATCTTGTTCTTTTTCCCTTTGAAGCTGGGCCTGGAAAGGATAAAAACAAACCTGAATTTGGCAAGTGCTGCCAGTGGCTCAAGAATAATACAACTTCTGAGGATTCAAAGCACAATATAAATCTGTCATAAGAAACATGTACATACATGCACCTACTTTTGGTGCTTATGAGCAAAAGCCAAGAAAATAAAACATTTTTAAAGAACTAAAATGTGCAAAAGTTGTGCTATATCACTACTGACGGAACAAATGCTTCTTTGCATCTTTATGTAACATTTCAACTAAGGAAACCACCCTCAGTGAACCCTGTATTCAATAAAGTGTTGTACACAGGGTGACTAAGCCTACTCATTGACTTACCCTCTTTCTACAACATAGAAAATCAGCTATCAGAGGAATAAGGCATACAGAGAACATAGAGAAAAGGAAAGTTACACATACATATGCAAACCCAGGTACAGGGTACTGTTTTATAATGGTATTTATTAGCACAGTAAGGCAAGATGTTAACAACAAAGGCAACTATGAGGGGCGAGGGGTATATGAGAACTCTCTGTACTATCCACTCAATTTTCTATAAACTTCAAACTACTCTGAAAAATAAAGTCTATTAAAAAACATAAACCTCTTGTCCAACGTATTGTCAGCAAATGTATTCTCCCAGGCAGTTGGGATGGTTTCTTTAGCTATGCAGAAGCTTTTAATCTGAGCTAGTTTCATTTGTTTAGTTTTTTCTTTTATCTCCCTTGTCTTAGGGGATAATATTGGCAAGAACATTGCTATGCAAGATATCTGAAACTTTACTGCCTATGCTTTCCACTAGGATTTTTATGGTATTGCAACCTGTATTTAAATCTTTTATCCATTTTGAGTTTATTCTGGTTTATGGTGTAAGCTGGTGGTCTAGTTTCATTTTTTGCATGTGCCAGTCTAGTTCCCCCAACATAAGTTATTGAAGAGGCTGTCATTATTCCATTGTATGCTCTTGCCCCCTTTGTTAAATATTAATTGACCATTAAAGTGTGGGTTTATTTCTGGGCTCTCTATTCTGTTCCATTGATCTATGTGTCTATTGCCACTTTCTATACCAGTACCAGGTTGTTTTGGTTACAATGGCCTTGTAGTACTGTTTGATACCAAGTACTGTGATCCCTCCAACTTTGTTCTTTTTTTCTCAAGATTGCTGAGGATATTTTGGGTCTTTTTAGGTTCCATATAAATTTTTTGGATATTTGTTCTAGTTCTGTGAAATATGCCATTGGTATCTTGATAGGAATTGCATTGAATCTATAAATTGCTTTGGGTAGTATGGACATTTTAATGATGTTATTCTTCCAATTCATAAACATGGTATATGTTTCTACTTATTTGTATCTTCCTCAATTTCTTTCATCAGACAAGGGTTTAATCTCTGAAATATATAAAGAGCTTATAAGACTCAACACCAGGAAGACAAACAATCCAACTAAAAAATGAGCAAAGGACCCGAATAGACACTTCTCCGAAGAGGACATACAGAGAGCCAATAGACATATAAAAAAATGCTTAATCTCACTTGCCATCAGAGAGATGCAAATTAAAACTGCAACGAGATATCACCTCACCAAAATATCTATCATTAATAAATCAAAAAACGACAAGTGCTGGTAAGGATGTAGAGAAGAGGGAACCCTAGTGCACAGTTTGTGGGAATGCACACTGGTGCAGCCATTGTGGAAAACAGTATGGAATTTCCTCAAAAAACTAAAAATGGCACTGCCTTTTGACCCAGCAATTCCACTGCTGGGAATATAGCCAAAGAATCCTGAAATACCAACTGAAAAGAAATTATGCACCCCCATATTCATAGCAGCACAATTTACAACAACCAAGTGTTGGAAACAACCTAAGTGCCCATCAGTAGATGAGTGGATAAAAAACTGTTGTGCATCTACACAATGGAATTCTATGCAACAGAAAGAAAGAAGGAACTCCTACCTTTTACAACAGCATGGATGGAACTGGAGACCATTATGCTAAGTGAAATAAGCAGGTTGGTGAAAGACAAATACCATTATGATCTCACTTTTAAGAGGAATCTAATGAACAAAATAAACTAATGACAAAAATAGAACCAGAGGCACGGAATCATGGAACAGACTGACAACTGTAAGAGGGGAGGGGAGAGGCCAGGGCTAATTGAAGGAGGTGAAGGGATTAGTTGTAGAACATATATGAAGAGACCGTGGACATGAACAATGTTGTAGAGTTTGAATATGGAAGTGGGGAGGTGGGCTGGATGGAGGGGGGCAAAAGGAGAAAAATTGGGATAATGGTAATAGCATCAACAATAAACTTTTTAAAAACTGAAACAATCAACAGTCTTGGTGACCTGTAGTCTAACATTCAGTTGGAGACACAAAAGGAGAAGAGAGTGAGGGCAAACAAGAGTTAATTATTTGAAGAACAATGGCCCAAATATTCCAAATTTGATGAAAATATTAATTGACATATTAAAGAATTCCAAAACAAACTCAGGCAGAATAAATAGAATACCATATTTGAGTGCATCATTGTCAAATTGTTAAAAACCAATGGTAAAGAGAAAATCTTAAAAGAACCTGAGAAATGTCACATTATGCATAGAGGAATAAAGATAATTTTCATTAGAAACCATGAAAGCCAGAAGAAAACTGAGACAGCATCTTTAATACCTCTGGGTAGTGCTAAAACTGAGTTGAATTCTTGGACATCCTTGTAACCTCCCCCACCCACACACATGGAAACTAGGTCCAGGAACCAAATTTTACCATTTAAAGCAGAAATAATAACAATGTATTGTGGTTTCTAACATATATTGAAATAAATTTACGAAAACTCTAAAGCCAAGGGAGATAAATGGAAGTACACTATTTCAAGGATCTTACATTACATGTAAAGTGTTTTAACACTAATTCATGGTAGACTGTGGTTAAGTTAAGAATATATATTTTAACCCTTAGAGCAGCTACTAAAATGAAGGAGAAGAAGAGAGAGCAAAAGAGGAATAGAAGTCAATTCAATGTTAAAAGAAATCTCTAGAGAAGTTAGAAGATATTTTTAACTGAATGACAATAAAAATATAAAACATCAAAAGTTTTGGGATGCTGGTAAATCACTGTTTAGAGGGAAATTGGTAGCTTTCCTGAGAAAATACATAATATAAAGAGAAACAAAAAAATTTTAAATCAATAATCTAATCTTCCAACATATAAAGCCAGGGAAAAAAGAGCAAATTAAATTCTATGTAAGTAGAAGAAAGGACATAATAAAGTGGAAATTAATCCAACAAAATAAAAATAATAAAATCTGTTCTTTGTAAAAGACCAATAAAATTATAAAGTGACATTGTAAATTAGTCATTTTAAAAAGTAAAAGTACAAAATTATTAATATCAAGAATAAAAGAGGGAATAGCACCAGAGCCACTGGAAACAGAAAATCTGAGTGGTCTTATATGTTAAATAAACTGAATCCATAATTTAAAAACATTCCACAAAGAAAACCGCAGTCTCAGATAGAATTTAAATTTGATAGAAGCTAGCAAACATGTAAGAAAGAAATAACGCTAGTCCTACACAAGGTCTCTCAGAAAACAGAAGGAGGAAAACTTTTCCACCTAATTTTATGAGGCCAATAAAACCATGACACCAAAAAAAGACATTATAGAAAATTGCTAAGTAAGATCCCTCATGAACATAGCCACAAAAGTACATCAGAAAATCCTTAGAAAATAAGAAAACTAGAGGAAGTAATAAACCTAGCAAAGGCAAAAGATATAGTCACACAAAAGCAGTATATTTTATATACTAGTATCAGAAAAGTATATAGAGTAATCCAATACCATTCATTAGAAAACATAAAATTCTTAGAGATACATTTAACATGAAATGTGCAAGATTTCTCATTAAAATTACAAACCACTGGGAAGAGAAGTAAAGAAGATTGAAATGTAGGTTTGCAGCATTCATTTGGAAAATAACACAATAATGAATAAATAATAATATAAGAATAAACTCTATGTTTTGTGTACTTACAACCGTAAACCTACTTTTCCCCCACTCTGTATAAATTTAACAAGATGCCAGTCAAAATCCCTGCAGACTTATGGGTAGAAAATGCCACACTGATTATAAAATTTAAGTAGAAGTGCAAGGGATCTTGCGCTTGTGATAACAATCACAATAGATAAGACAGAGTCTCAGAAATAGACCTTATCTATACAGTCAAATGACTGTTGACAAAGAATTCAGTTGCAAACAATTCAATTGGTGAAAGGGAAGTCTTTAACAAAATAATGCTGGGACAAATGGAAATCCATATGACAAAAATTTTGATCGTGAACATTTTATCTTACCATACAAAAATTAATTCCAGATGGATCACAAGCCTAAATATAAAAATGAAGATAAAAAGCTTCTAAAAGAAAATATTCTAGCAAACAGTTTTGTTGATTCTTTTAAAATCAAACATATACCTATCCTGTGGCTCAGCAATTCTACCACTACACATTTACCCAAGAGAAATGAAAGCATGTCCACAAATAAGATCTGTATGAGAATGGTCATAATAGCTTTATTTATAATACCCATAAGCTGGAAACAAGCCAAATGTCCACCAACAGGAAAATGGATAACCACATTGTGGCGTATCTATATAATGACTTCTACATAGCAATAAAAAGGAATGAACTACTGATACATACAATAGCATGGATGAATTCCAAAAACTTTATGCTAAAAAAACAAACCAGATACAAGAGAGTATGTTTCCTATGATTCAATTTATATAAAAGTTATAGGATAGGCAAAATTAATCTAAGGTAAAATAAGTCAGAGCAACAGTTGTCTTGTCTGGAGGTAGGGAAAGAACAGAGAATAACCTGGAAGAGATATGAAATGATTTCTGATGAAAATGTTCTATGATTTGATAGGGCTGTGGTTGCACAAGAATATATACTTATCGATAATTACTGAACTGCACATACATTTCACTTTAAATAAATTGTATGTCAGTAAAACATTTTTAAAACTATTCTAAGTCACTGGTCTACAATATTTAGCTGGCACAGGAGTTTCTAAGTTATTGGGAACGTGCACACCGAACTGCAAGACAAAGTGGTTGCACTTCTGGGGTTGTGTCCTCCTTGACTCACAGAACTGTCGGACTTCTAAGTTTTTTCCAATCAGGTCAATGTAAATTAGTATCCCTCTGTGTCTTTAATTTGTATTTCCCAGGTTACTAATAAGATTGATCATTTTTTCCATAGATGTATGTCCATTTGTGATTCCTTTTTTTCCTGAAAAATGTTTCATTACAACTCTGTCCTTTTTTCTATGTTACTTTGTTGTGTTTATTCCTCTCTACCCCAGGATTGTAAAGACATTGTTCTGCATTTGCTTCTAAAAATTTCAAAGTTTTACCTTTTATGTTTCCATCTTTAATCCATCTGGAACTGATTTTTGTATATGGTATGAGGTAGGGATCCAATTTCATTTCTTCCCCTTTGTTGTATATTGAATTTCCATATAAGTGGATCTGTTTCTGACTGCATTCTACTCCTTTATTCTATCGGCTATCCATACAAATATCATGTTAATTTTGATAACATTATAGTTTCTCTCAATATATAGTAGGGCAAGTCTTCACCTTATTTTTCTTCAGAATAGTTTGGTTATTCTTGGACCCTTGCTTTTCTGTATAAATTTTATTTTTTAAAGTATATTTTATTGATTATGCTATTACAGTGCTCCCATTTTTTTCTCTTCTTTATTCCTTTCTGCCCTGCACCACTCCCACCAGCATTCTTCCCCCCACTTAGTTCATGCCCATAGGTCGTACATGTGAGTTCACTGGCTTCTCCATTTCCTATACTATTCTTAACCTCCCTGTCTATTTTGTACCTACCATTTATGCTTCTTAATCCCTGTACCTTTTCCCCCATCCTTCCTCCTCCCTCTCCCCACTGATAACTGTCCATGTGATTTCCATCTCTGTGATTCTGTTCCTGTTCTAGTTGTTTGCTTAGTTTGTTTTTGTTTTTAGGTTCAGTGGTTGATAGTTGTGAGTTTGTTATCATTTTACTGCTCATAGTTTTGATCATCTTTTTTCTTAGATAAGTCCCTTTAAAATTTCATGTAGTAAGGCCTTGGTGATGATGAGCTCCTTGAACTTGACCTTATCTGGGAAGCACTTTATCTGCCCTCCCATTCTAAATGATAGCTTTGCTGCAAAGAGTAACTTGGATGTAGATTCATGACTCTGAATGCTTTTTTCCAGCCCCTTCTTTCCTGTAAGGTTTCTTTTGAGAAATCAGCTGACAGTCTTATGGGAACTCCTTTGTAGGTAACTGTCTCCTTTTCTCTTGCTGCTTTTAAGATTCTCTCCTTATCTTCAATCTTGGGTAATGTAATTATGATATGCCTTGGTGTGTGCTTTCTTTCGTCCAACTTCTTCGGAACCCTCTGAGCTTCCTGGACTTCTTGGAAGTGTATTTCCTTCGCCAGCTTGGGGAAGTTCTCCTTCATTATTCTTTTAAATAAGCTTTCCATTTCTTGGTCTTCCTCATCTCCTTCTGGCACCACTATGATCCAGATGTCAGAATGTTTAGTTATCCTGGAGATTCCTAAGCCTCTCATTTTTTTTGAATTCTTGTTTCTTCAGTCTGTTCTGGTTGACTGTTTATTTCTTCCTTCTGCCAAACTATTGATTTGAGTTTGGTTGCTTTCCCATCACTGTTAGTTCCCTGTATATTTTTCTTTATTTTACTTTGCATAGCCTTTACTTCTTCCTCTATTTTGCAACCACAGTCAATCATTTCTGTGAGCATCCTGATTACCAGTGTTTTGAACTGTGCATCTGATAGGTTGGCTATCTCTTTGTCACTTAGTTGTATCTTTTCTAGAGCTTTGAACTGTTCTTTCATTGGGCCATATTTCTTTGTCTCCTTAATTTGGCAGCCTCCCCATGTCTGTTTCTGTGTATTAGGTAGAGCTTTTACTCCCTGTCTTAGCAGCATAGCCTATTGCAGAAAAGTCACCTGTAAGTTGTGTGGGGTGGAGCCTTAGGTTATCGCCAGGGTGGGACAACCTGTTTCACCACTCTGTGGTTCTTTGTGGGGGAGGGCTCAGGGAGGAGGCAGTGCTACTGTCTGGCCTCTGGATATTACCCAGGAAGAAGCTGTCTCCTGGCTCTCACTCTGTTGACAGTCACTTTACTTTGTGCCCTTCTCTCCATGTGCCAACTGTGCTATTCCAGCTGTTAATCTGGTGCACAGGTATTCATCAGGGCAGGGCAACCCACATTGCTAAGCTGTAGCACTGTATGTGGGAGAGGGGTCCGAGAGGGAACAAACTGCTTGCTCCACTCTCAGCAGGCTTTCAGTCACTTCCCTGGCTACCCACAAGGAAATTGGGCCCTTCTGGTGCTGATTCCCAGGTGGGCGGGTTTGTGTACATTTTAGGACCCTGTAGTCCCTCCAACAAACTCCCGTGAGACTGGGAGTTTCTCCTGCTGCTACAATCCCTATAGGATTTTAAAGCCAGAGGTCTTAAGGCTTTATTTCCCTGCTCTGGAACCCTGGGTTACACAGTCTGTCTCACTCCCCAGTTGCCTTGCTCTCCCAGTCCTTCAGCCTCTACCTTGCTGCGTGTCCTCTCCACCCTGGCTGCCTTACCCATCTGGATGAATGCTTCTTCTTTAATTCCTTGGTTGTCAAGTTTCATACAGTTTGACTTTACAGCAGTTCTGGTTGTTTTTTGTTTTTAAATTTGTTGTTGTTCTTCGTTTGGTTGTGTGAAGAGGCAAAGTGTCTACCTATGCCTTCATCTTGGCTGGAAGTCCTCCACATAAATTTTAGAATCAATCTTTCTAGTTCCCTGAGAAATCTACTAAATACTTAACTGATTAAAATCCAATATTGACAGCACTTTTGTCCATTTCCAAGACAATGTAGAGACCCTAGAACACTTTAAACTACATTTATCCCTTCCTAATTTACAAGCTATTACTTTCACTAATTTTAACCCTTTACCTATATGTAGACCAGACAGAACATTATTACTGTTGTTTAGTACAATAAGTATTCATTTACCCATATATTTACCACCTTTTTTGTTCTTCATTCCTTCTTGAATCTCTGACCTTCCATCTAAAATAATTTTCCTTCTATTTGAATAATGTCCTTTAGTATTTCCTTTAGGATGAATTTCCTAGTAACAAATTATTTCAGTATTTGTGAGTCTTAAAATGTCATTATTACACCTTTATTTCTAAAGGATATTATTCCCAGTCATGAGTCTCAATTGGCAGCTATTTTCTTTTATGTCATAAGTGTATTAGTCTCTTGTCTTCTGGATTCTATAATTTTAGTTGAGAAAGCAGCTGTTATTTTATTGTCCCTTTGAAAGTAATCCACCACCCCGCCCCCTACCAGGAAGCTTTTAAGATTTTTTCCATGCCCCATTATTTATTTTATTCCAAGGTGTCTAGATTCTTTATTTATCCTGTTTTAGTTTTATAGGGCTTCTTGAATCTGTGGTATATTCTTTTTTTAATCAGTTTTGGAAAAGTCTATGCCATTATCTCTTTATACAACCTCTGTTCCCTTCTCCTTCTCCTTCCCTTTAGGACCTCCAATTACATACGGTAGAGCGAGGTCCCACCCTCTTCAGAATAGTTTGGCTATTCTCGGACCCTTGCTTTTCCACATAAATTTTGACCTTTTCACTGTAAAATTATTTCTCCCACTCTTTTTTAAAACTACTTTTATTTTGGTTCCTCGTTGATCTAGATGGTTTTACCTTCCAATTCACTAATTATCTCTTCATATCTATTAGATCCATCCATTGAGTTCTAAATTTCAGTTATTATGTTTTTCGGTTCTATAATTTTTATATGGTTCTTTTTCAGATGTGTTCTGACATTTTATGCTCTCCAATGTTCTGCTGAAAATTTAAATCTTGCTTTTTACCTCCTTGATTACAGCAGGCATAATAATTTTGTAGTCTGTGTTTGTTAAGGCCAGTACATAGCTGGAGCTAACTTGTGAACATGTTTATACATATAGACTATTAAGTATGCTGTATCTTGTTCCTGGTGTCTTGGCTCCTTCTGCCTACTTATCTTTGATTGAAAGTTTCTTGCTGTGTTAAAGAAATGTTTGTAGAAATAATTTGAGGTACTTGAGAATATTAGCAGTCCAGAATCACTTTAATTCAATTTCAGGGACCAAGATTTTCTGAGTTACTTTGATAACCCAGAGCAGAGTTGTAATCTTTTTTTTCCCTATTGCTCACCCTTTCAAAGTACTCTGCACAGAGGATTTGCCAGCATTCCTATTCTTGATAGGCTCTGGATTCTAACTTTAATTTCCTTGGCCCCAAAAGGATGGCTGTTAAAAGCATTATTTAGCCTCTCAGTGGACGGTTTTGGAATCAGCCCTCAGAAGGAGCCTGAAGTATCTGGCCTACTTCTCTGGAATTAAATCTACACACAGATTTTGAATTGGTGATTTTTAATCAACTTGTTAATTCTCTGATGCCACTGCATATTTTTTCTTTCTCCTCTTTTATTCTGTCTCTCTTTTTAATATCCTGTACAGTTTTTCTTGTTTTCCTCTCTAAAAAGATTGGTCCAAATGACCTAGTGGGCATCACTCTCAGTGAAAATCTATATATATCTTTATATCTTAATATCATTTAAGATTATAATATAACAATTTTCCCATGACATTAAATATTCTTTTTTCTGAGGCAAATTTACTAGCTTTTATTATATATTTAATTTGTGTCATCCAGTTTACATCTTACTTTTTTTTTTACTGAGGTATAATTAACATGCAATGTTTTATTAGTTCCAGGTGTACAATATAGTCATTCCATCTTTGTATACACACTGTGAAATGATCGCCTCAATAAGTCTAGTACCATGACACCAGACAGACATTAAATATTCTTCAAAAACATATTATATTATATTCCTTATAGAAAATATGTTCACCTGTTGTTCTAGGATCATATTCTTCTCTCGCTCTACATTGAGAACCATTCTCTTTGTATATTCTAGTTGCTTCTCTAAGAGAATACAGCGAGACTGAGCTGAGCTTAACTGTATACTTATATCTATGAAAAAGAAAAAGTAATGAGAAGTAAATTAGTTGATTTATCACATAGACCAGACATTCGGTTATCAGAAGAAATACATTATATGAATTCAATCAAGAATTAAAAGTTCAAGCCTTCTTTATTCCAGTGTACTGACTTTCCCAGTTATAAACATCCATTTTGTGAATATTTCATTAATTATATATAACTGACTTAACATGATTTCCCCCTAAAGACCCAGAAGACATACATCTGAAAGGGGAAGATATCAGTAACTTGTGGGATGATAAATATCCTGGCTGTCCTTGGGAAAGGGCACTAACTGGAAAATGGAGGACCCAAAGTCCTCCATCAGTGTATTTCCTCTCTTTCAAGAAACCCAAGTATATGCATTCTACCATTTCCACTTTCCTCTGCTCTCAACTATGACAGCAACTTCTTTCTAAACCTTTAATTTCTTACTTTCCTCTGCTCTTTCTTCTACCTTTGTCCAATTACTTCAGAAAAAAATATTTCTCCCCATTTCTTCATCCTATTTATAAGTTGAAACACAAACTTGAACCTGTTTTTGAGGGTGGGTGTCATGTTTTAAAAACAAAGCTACACGTTTTGATGTGAATTTTTTTTTTTTTTTTTGGTTCACAGGCCCACGCTCAATCCACTGAGCTACACCAGCCGGGGCTGATGTGAAATTATGTAAAGTACTTACCTTCTAAACCTCTAAAGCCTGTGTCCAGGTATCTTCCTCATAATTTCCACAGAACTTCTACCTATGTATCCATTTTATCTAATTAACCTCTCAAGTTAAATAAAATTCCTTTTTATTCATTTTATGGTGTTTATGTTATTTAATTACTAGTGTTGCATTATATTTTTAAATTTTAAAACCATGTTACCTGAAACTATAAAGTATTCCAATTATATACTGGAATACTATATTTAGGTTAAACTAAATTTTGTTGGTATTCTGGAGATATTCTAATTTCTAAATACAACTTTTCTAAAAACTTAATTTTTCTTGTAATCTCAAAGACATATGAACTGGGATCAAACAGATACAATTAAAAAGGTTCAAAGCTATATCCATTTCCTGCAAATACCAAAATGTCTGAGAACAAAATGCTTAGGAGTTTAAACGTATATATAAGAACAAATATATTTGAGTAAATCTGCTTAGACTGGGCTTATTTTCAAATTGTAAACTTTAGTAACTTTTTGTTTCTGAGAACTATTGAACTTACCTTTTTTCTGCTTTATCAGTTCCTGGTGTACCAGATTTCTCTCATTAGTCTCATTTTCCAAGGCCTTTTTATACTCTGCTGCTTCTCTGGAAAGAATGTTGAGATTATCTTCAGCTTGTGTTCTCTCTAACTCTAAACGACGAATCTTTTCCTGAAGAGTTTTTAGGGCTAAAATAAGAGCTGTTGAAAAAAAATTTGCTTGATAGTATAAATGAGAATTTTTGAACACTTACAATCATATGAAAGAGAGCAGTACATTTTCGTTAGTGAACCAGAAAAACGTGTAATATATATTTCTCATAAAAATGGGAAATAATAGCTAAAAGTCTAAAAAGAAACAAATTTCCTCTAACATATCTTGTAAAAGCAATATATTTAGGATTGTACTTGGTGATTTTCTAGGTTTGAGAAAGCTAATGATCAAAGACCTTAAGATAACATATAGTCTAGGAGGCATAAGAATCTGAGTCTGAATAAAGAAAATTAAAATACAGTATCTACTAATGTGGAAATTTAGGTTTAAAGGTAAAGGTTTTCCTCAGTTATTGATGTGTTCGGTTGCAGTCAAACCACAAACACTTATTATTCCTTTGTCCAAGATACAGTGTTAATAATCAGGACATAGGAGGAAGAACACAGCTTCTTCCACTGGAAAAAAATTATAACCTTGTGGTTTACCTCCTATCAGGCTTGAAAGATTATATGTGTACACATGAACTACTAAGATTTTTTTTAGGTACAGTTAACATCTTCATAATTCAGGTAAGTTCAGATTATTATCTTATACTTTCTATTCAGCTGTTACTTCAAACTATAAAACTAGAGATGAATGGAATACAAATAAATGTTATATTTCATATAGCTTTGTTGTCTTTTAGAATATATACTTTCTGTATATTCAATTAGGGAGTTGTTAGCTAAAGATTATCATTTTTTTTACAAATGAGATAAAGAAATTATATTTGTTTCTCTTTATATAGCATCTGTGGCTGGCTCATTGGTTTGGATTATTATTTCTTGCAGTTGTTTTACTCCATAAGGCTAGTCTATTTATCATTGACAGCCATTATCAGAGAACATTAAAAATCAAAGTGATTCTCAGCATCTTAGGAAGTAATTTGTACTGTATAGGTATGACTGAATCATAAACATTTTCCTAATTCAGTTTTAAGATCCTTCTAAATTTATACCTTAAAAGTGACAATATTTATATTTTATAGTTACTCTAACATGCTGGCTTCATGAGGAATTTTCAAGGTAATTTTGGATATATGCAATTTCTGGATTTAATCCTTGAATAAGCCATAACTCTACTTAATTCACTAGCATTGTAATAATCTAGTTAGAAGGACTCCAAATCTGACCTTTTATTCTTGATAGAATTTTTGTTTTCTTATGACATTTTTGGTAATGAATGTCATATTTTATAATATATGTCACCTTACAGCTGTAACCAGAATAAAAAATGTTAAATAACTTGTCTAAATTTACTGAAACTTTTAATAACAGAATCTAAATTAGTTTAATTAAGACTTAGTTAAAAATGAAATTATATTCTTTTCACATAAAAATGAGAAGATTTATACAACATACTTTGTACCACTCCCCTAATTTTAAGTAAGATTTTTAAAATTAATATTACCTTGGCTATTTGGACTACGAAGCATTTTAGAAGAGGTAGCTTCGAAGTTCCCAGAGTGGTGATTCTGAGATAATTCATCGTTCTGGGTGAATGGTGGAACAAATGTTCTTTCTGGAGGTTTAAGATAGCTTCCTACTATACTGTGCATTAGTTCGGAATCCATTATCTGTACAAAATAAAGAAATGATATAGTATAGCATCATTCATTCTTATTTGGATCATAAAAACATCAAATATCCAGGTGAAACTTTAACATAAATACAAAATCATATACTGTGAAGTTGTATCTTTAGGAACTCAATTGTCACATATTCAACTATAATAATACAAGCTCACCAAAATAACAAAGAAAAATGACAATTTACTGTATAAACAGTATGAACAATTAATTCTGCCTGATCTGCAATGAGCATATGCCCTGGAGTAAGCACTGCATGGGTGGTATGAATTTTCAGGTTTCTCGTAAGTCCATATATGTCTCATTGTCTGAGCACCTTTACATAAAAAGAGTGACTCTAGGATTCACAGAGAAAGTATATATTCTAAAATACAACACAGCTTGTAAAACAAGCTACCCACATAATTTAATTTTCTAAGATTCGACTTTGATGTGCTGGCTTCCAAAGGGATGTCTGAGAGAATTCTGGATATATCAATTTCTGAATCTAACCCATTTAAATACATTAGCATTCCAATCATCTAGTGTAGGAAGTTTTCAAATCTGAAGACTCTAAAATAGCTTTTTTTGGTCATTCCAGGCTTTTTGGGGGGACAGGGGGTCTTATCTGGTTAGTTGTTTGTAAGAGAGCTCTTTTAATCATTTTAGTAGGTAAATTTTTACCTAATTGTCCTCATGGTCAGAGAAAAGGGAGGTAAGATACACTGAATTAAACACAGAATCATGTAATTTACTGAAGTCTGGGAGGCTCTTAGAGGCCATGGATTCTAACCTTTCCTTTCAACATAAACTTACCCTCACATTATCTCTAACAGGTCATCCAAGCTCTGCTTGTTATCTCCAGAAAGACGGAGCTCACTGTCTTTAGGCTGAATTCAAAGCTTCCTTCTATGATTTTTATGAATTTAACAGATTTGGAAGGAAATAAAAATAACTTCTACACTTACTGATGTAGATGTTGAATTAGATATTTACATATCGGATTTATCTAGTAAAATCTTGATGCAAAGTTTAGAACCATTTTCAAACTTCAAATTTCATCATTCACAGCATCTGAAATGCATGTAAAACACTTATGAAATCCCATCCCCCAATTAAGGGCAAAATGGAGAAATCAAACAGAAATTACTCAATCATATAATCAATGATAGTTAATTTCTTATTAAATCTCAGTGGACTTGAGTAGATCCAGATCAGGACAGCTGAATACTAATTAGGAGATAACTTCAGCATGTGTCTACTAATCCCCAATACCAGTAGATTTCTTCCTTCTTAATACCTTAAGAATTTGTTTTTTAAATAACTTACCATATATATAATACACACATGTATAGTTTAAGGAATTATAACAAAACAATTTCTGTGTATCCACACCTAACTTAAGAAATAGAGTGCTACACTGTTCTGTGCAAGCCTTCTGTGTGCCCTTTCCTATCTCTTGCTTTAAACTTTGTGCTGCTCATTCTAACGCCTGTTTAGTTTTATCATACATCTATGTATCCTTAACAATATAGTGTTTACTGTTGCTGGTTTTTAAACTTTATATAAACAGGATCATACTTTTTTTCATTCAAAGCATCTTGGCACATGCAGTTGTGTGGTATTCATTTTCATTGCTGTATATCATTCTAGTATGTAACACGGATCTTAGAATGCATTAATTCCAATCAATCTTTTCCAGACTCATAAAGCTATGGATGTCTGGGATTGCTGGCTCTATTTTTATTTTAACCACACAAACTAGACAATATTGTTTTAATTTATAAGGTTAACGGTTACGTTCACCTATAAGTATTTTGTGGACTTTATGATGGACTGCCTTTTAGGAATGCGTACTTTTCCCACAGCTACTAGGAGTGTAGCCAGAAGGAAGCCCGTGGCTACCAGCTCTCTTTGGGATTGCTCTGCCTAAAGAACATTACCTCATCCAAGGACAAGACTCCTTCACGGGGCAGCCCACATTCAGTGGGGGTTAAAGGCCTGACCCTCTTCCCCCAACTCAAGACAACTCTAAAGGATCACCTACCTCCTAATCCTATGGCATCAATGAAACCTTTGCTGTGTCTTCATCTCAGCTTAACTTCTCTCTCTGCCTAACACTGCTCTTTCCTCTCCCTCTCCAAGGCATTGATCCCCAAAATAATCTCTAATAAATGTGTATGCTAATCTCTGCCTCAGAATCTGCTTCCTGGGAAGCTGAACCTGCAATAATTACCAAACCTTTTTTCTTAAGGCTTTCATTCTGAGATTGTATTTTACAGGCTCTTTCAGTGAGTATGTTAGTAGTAAATTTTCCTAGTTTTTGTTTTCCTTATTAAAATGTCTCTCTTTTCACTCTTTTTCTTAAAAGATAATTTTGCTGGATGTATAGTGCTGGATCGCCAATTGTTTTCCTTTAGCACTATGGCAATATTATGTCTTCTAGGTTCCAATGTTGCCATCCAGATAGGCAGGGTCATTCTGAAGGGCAGGTTATTTTCCTGTCATTCACACAAGGTTTAACCCTTTGGGGATCCCAACTTTATACTGCAGTGTCTAAGCTTATCACTCACCGTGTCTAGGCAGATTTTGTCTCTTGCCCCATGCAATCAGGAATGCCTTCTTAAAGGCCCAGGTCAGGAGGCCTGGAGGAAACAGCAGGGGCTCTCTGGGATAAAAGAGATTCTATGGTCCATTTATGCCTATAAAACTGGGCTTTCTCATGTACAGTCTCACTATTTGCCCCTTACTTTGCTGCTAACTCAGCCGTGCTTTAAAAAAGATGTTGCAAGCACTTTATAGAGCACTGTTGTGTTCTTTACTAGAAAAGATTTCTTTGAATGTTCAATATGCCATATTGCTTGAAACTGCAATAGCGTACAGCCAACTTTTAAAACTATGCAATGACTTTATAGGAGTACCATAACTATTAAATTCCAGAAATTCATAAGCAGTTTAATCAATATGCTTCAGTGACTGATCATGCATAATGTATTAATACTAGAAGAAAAATTTGCATTTAATAAATTGTCATTTGACATTCAAACTGACCTATTTAACATAATTCATAATTGGTTTTAAATACAGTTCTTGCTAGATTAAAAAAATAATCACTCTACAGCTATCACTATAAGGACTGATGTAGGCAAGAAGCATAAATATTAAATTTGGCCCAGGATGGCTATGAATGCAGCCCAACACAAAACTGTAAATTTTCTAAAAACATTATGAGATTTTTTTGTGATTACATGTCACAATGTATTTAATGTGTAGCCCAAGACAACTTTTCTTCTTCCACTGTGGCCCAGAGATGCCAAAAGGTTGGATACCTCTAGAAAGATCAGCAATTTTCAGGATGCTGACATTCAGTGCCTTTAACTATTAGAGAGCTAGCTACATTCTGTCCAGTCACCATGATGCCCCTTAGACCTGTTAAAGCGAGATTTTAAAAGGTTCAGAATTACAGATTTAGGAGGGAAAAGGGTTGAACTCAGAATGCTAAAGACCGTACCACTAGCATTTAGGAGGCAAATGAAGGAATAAAAACCCTCAATAGATATCAAAAAGAGTGATCAGAGAATTGGGAGGAAAAAAGCGGAAGGCAGTAACAAAAGAGTCAAAGTGAGAACAAGAAGTAATTATTTCATATCTACAACCTATATGTTATGCCTTTTAGAAATAAGAAACACACAGGGTCTGGCTTCTGCTGTCACGAAGCTTGTAATCTCACAACTGAAAAAAGACTAGAAGGCAGGCAATGAGAGGGGAGAAAAGGACATAGGGGTGACTCAGCAGTATATCCAATAAAACTGGTTATCTTATCTCATAATTATTAAATTTTTATTGAGCATTCATCAAACTCAGTATCTTAAATGAGTCTGAATAGAATATGATTACATGAGTACAATACCTAGCTTTTAAACAGTACAAAGTAAAGCCAATTTTTAATGAATGTTATATAAATTATAACATAGCATGTTATGTGCACAGTTAACTCAACTCAGTGCATGCTACCAAGCTACCTAATTTCCAAGCAAGCTTGTCAATTGCTGAATTTAAAATAACTAGACTTATAAACACTGGACCCAAGACAGCTACACTAGCCTCCTCCCAGAACTAAACTGGAATTATAACTAAATTAAAGAAAAATCATCCTGAATAGACTTATAAACATTATATGTAATAATTAGAAAGTTGGATTTTTCCTTATTGAACTAGAACCCAGTAAGTTTAAAACTTAAAAATATTTGGCATTACTTAAATTATTAGACTCCCCATCATCTTTAACTGTAGTTTATCTTACATAAACTACAGTTCATGAGAAAATGCTCCTGGCTTAATATGAAATGAATACAGAAGAATATAAAAGCACATAATTATAGCCCAACTTTAGAAAAGGACAAAGATAAGCCTAGACAAAAGACTAAAGGTATTAAAATGTTCATTGATGAAGAACAGGAGATTTTTATTTTCTTATTTCTACTTCTTAACCATTCTCTATAATAAATATATTAGTTTTATAATAAAGAACACAAATGTACTAGTTTCCTCTTATCTAGATTTCTACAGAGGTAGAAAACAGCTGAAGATGGATGGTATCAATTATTTATATGGACATTTGTTGGGGAACTTACATCTTTTCATTTTTAAGGGCCTTATGCCTCCTATATCAATATAAACTCAGAGGGGGCAACTGTGTTCATTTCTTTAATAAATGTCTACAGTCCAAGCTGCTATGCTCTGCAAAGTGGTATTGTTTCCTCTGGGCCTAATTGAAAAAAAAAATTGTAAAATGAATCCCCTGCAACCAATTTGTTAGGTCAACAACTTTTCTCTTCTTCTCTCCCCTCACTAATGTTTGTCATGGTTAAACCCAACAAATTTATAAATATTGTCATAAGTTTTAAAAAATCACATATTATACCTTGGTACATATCTTTGCATACAGTGTTGTAATTTAATGAATCATTTAAGTAAATATTAGTTATTAAAAATTTAAAATATTACTGGTACTACTGGTACTGGTACCTTTCTGTTGTCAGAAATGTCTAACTTCCTATGATTTTGAAAGGGTTTCCATATTCTTATAATGTTTATTACATTTACCTGTTGTACTTAACTCTGAGTTCAGGACTCTGAGCAGAGTCCTTCACTCTGCTTCTAACCATTTCTCTTTAGAAAGGCTGATGGCAAACATTAAATATAAAAAGAATTCAGAAATTTATCAAATAATGAATTAAAGGTAAGAGTACTCAGATTAGTTGCTACAAATCCTCCTCCTTGGCCTTTACCTGTTTTTCACCCACAAACTGAGCACACTTAATAGTTAGAATTAATGAGAAGGGTGCCTGATTGTTCAGGCAGCACAAAGGGGAATGAGCTAACGGACAATGATAAATAACTGACACTTACCTATTTAACTGACAAAATTTATTTCAACTAGTTTTAAGAGAAATATTTCCATAATATTTAACCTGCTTTCCTTCCTTTTAGGTGGAACATACTCAATACAATTTAACCTTCGGGATAACTTAAGGATTCCATCACAGTATTTTAATTGCGTACAATGAATGATACTTAGAGAGCCACACTGATACTTGGATTGTTTGCTCCTTCACTGTTAAGTTCCCGACTGTTACAGACTTTGTTCTGTGTCTTTTCACCTCTTGCTCTCTTCCCTTCCAGGCTGCTAACTGAGCTGCCTGTTTACTAGTCTATAATAGGACATCTCTACCCTTTCTAATTGGTTTCCCAATTTATAGCAAATAAGAAACAACAAACACAATAAAGTTTCATTCATTAACCATTCAAACCTATGAAAAATACAGACCAAAGAAAGAGCAAGAATGGGTAGAGGAGAAGATCAAGTGTATAACAAAAGAAATAGCATAGTAATAATGATGCTTCACATTTATTAGACATTATGTGAATTAACTTATTCAAGTCCACATGACAACTCTATGAAACACAATGATTTCCATTTTAGAAATGACGAAACTGTGGCACAGAGAAACCATATTTTGCCCAAGGACACACAACTAGTTAACTGGCAAAGTTGGATTTGAACTCAGGCA